TCACTGACACACTCATTCATTGACAGACACACACGCGCACTGACAGACACACACTCACTGACACTAATTGTCAGACACGCTGTTAGTCACACAATCAGAGACTCTCACTGATTGTCACACACACAAAAACACATGCATTAACAGACACACACATGCACTAACAGACACTCAGACACTCACAGACATACACCCTCTCAGACATGCACACATATACACCCACTCAAAGACATACACACACACTCACAGACACATACACACACTCAGACACACACACACACACACTTACTCACTCACATTTACACTCACAGACACACACATATACTCACAGACATACACACATACACTCACAGACACATACAAACACTCACAGACATACACACACACAGTCACAGTTACACTCACAGACACACACATATACTCACAGACATACACACATACACTCACATACATACACACACTCACAGACATACACACACACACTCACAGACACATACTCACAGACACACAGACACATACACACACACTCACATACTCACACATACACTCACAGATACATACACTCACAGACGTACACACAGTCAGACACACACATATACTCACAGACATACACACATACACTCACAGACACAGACACATACACACACTCACAATCATACACACACAGAGTCACATTAACACTCACAGACACACACTTATACTTACAGACATACAGACATACACTCACAAACATACACACACTCACAGACAAACACACACACACTCACAAACACATACTCACAGACACATATACACACACTCACAGACACACATATACTCACATACATACACACATACACTCACAGACATGCACACACACTCACAGACACAAACACACACACACTCACTCACAGACACACAGACACATACACACACTCACAGACACACACATACACTCACAGACATACATACACCCAGACACACACACTCACAACTTAATAATGTAATAAAATATTTACCACCCAGCCTCCCTACTTGGAGAGCTGGCGTGGATCCGTCCCATCGGGTTCAAGGGGGGCTGCTGTGAGGTGGGCGACGAGGTAGCTCTGATCTCTCTGCTCTGCTCCCTCGTGCCGCAGGGGCTGTGTACTGATGCTGGTAGCCGGAATTTGACGTCATATTCCGCCTCCCACTGCATCAGTAAACGGCGCGCAATGGAGCAGAGCAGGGAGATTACAGCTCCCTCGCCGCCTTGGATGGGAAGCCGCCCGCCTGAGGGGGGGGGGTCTCTATTAGCTGGCTAGCATGTCAGCTCTTGCCCCCCCCATGACAGGGGAATCACACTCCTCAGTGGGCGTTTGGGGGTGGTATTTTTGCCGCCCCCTAAATAGTGCAACCCAAGACAAATGCCTAGTTTGCCTTGGGCTAAATACACCCCTGGCTGTGTGTGTACAGTGTGTGGGCAGTTGCGCTGTGTGTGGATAGTTGAGCTGTATGTGTGCAGTGTATGGGTAGTTGCGCTGTGTGTGTGCAGTGTGGGTAGATGAGCTGTATGTGAGCAGTGTATGGGTAGTTGAGTGGTGTGTGTGCAGTGTGGGTAGTTGCGCTGTGTGTGTGCAGTGTGGGTAGTTAAACTGTATGTGTACAGTTGTAGCAGGCCTAGGGTAACCCAACTGGTTACCTCAGCTAATTCCCTTCCTGCAGCCGGCTGGGAAAAAGTAAGGGCATAAGGAGACCCATTTTCATCCCCCCCAGTAACTGGACGACACACAGTCCTGGAGGTACGACACAATTTTATTGGCCACACCCAGCTTTTATGCATAACCCCGTGCAAGGGGTTTACCACACAAACATGCAAGGACACATCCCAATATCCTCCCCCTTCCTAGGGCCCCAGCACGAGAAGGGACTCTGCTCCCTTTGTACTAAGAGCCTGCCACTAAACCCACAGGGTTTCCCACACCAACCGCCAGGCCTCTGTGCATGGGAGTCTAGGTGCAGAAAAAAACAAAAACGTCCCTTTGTCTTCCAGCCACAGAAACGCTTTCCCACGGGAAAAGAGCTGGTATTTTTGTCCATCAGGCTCCTGAGAGCCCGCCAAACTCGTCAGTGCCCCAAAAGTGCCCACACCAATCTCAGGGACTCTCACTTCGATTCCTCGACCGACTAGTCTCTGTTCATGAGGTCCTGGTGTGAAACCCAGACAAGGGAAGTGTCTCCTTTCGGAGGATAAATGCTCCCCCTGGCCAGCATTCGTCTATACTGCGAGATTAACAACAGGTGGAACTTTATGAGGCAGCACCACACTGGATTGGCTTAAGGCTATTTGAGGTGGTGCCTAAAGGATTTTAAACATGGATGTGGCAAGAAGTTGTTGGTGTGAGGTTGAAACAAATTTCGCCTGGGGCTTCTGTATCTATCAGGCAGAGGGAACTTTTCCAATCTGGAGTTTCCTCATTGGTGGGAACATTCTGCTATACCTTGGAACTGGTTCTCTCTGTAATGGTACAAGTGAGCAAAAGTATTTTTGAGACCTGAGCGGGGACTAAACGAAGGGCAAGATCCCAAGGTTTGCCAGAGTTTAAAATAATTAACCATCACACAATACCCAAAGTCAACACCAGTGGGAGTAAAGAAGGGCTGCCTGGGGCTGCTGTATCTCTCGGGCAGAGGGAACTTGCCAACATTTCCAATTTGGAGTTTCCTTATTGGTGGGAACATTCTGATATGCCTTGGAACTGGTTCTCTCTGTAATGGCACAAGTGAGCAAAAATATTTTTGAGACCTAAGCGGGGACTTAACGAAGGGCAAGCTCCGAAGGTTTAACAAACACACAATACCCAAAGTGGAAACCAGTGGGAGTAAAGGGATAAAAAAAGCTAAATTATGCAGATTATAAGAAGATTCCTCTATTAAGATTCCTATAGTTATGTGCATATATCCCCTTTTTTCTGAGAATCTGTTCCACGAACTGTACTCATGAAATTGGGCTTGAATTTGCTGTATCTGGTTGCGGCATTGTGGAATGCCGGTGGAATGCAGTTGGACTTCATGTAGAACGCAAATGCGTCCCTGGCGGAACAGGAAGGAAGCAAGCGCCATGCTTAATTGAAAACGAGGCTTGGAACAAACCGAAAGCAGAAGCAGTTCAAGGCAAGATTAACAACAAGTGGAACTTTATGAGGCACCACCACACTGAATTGGCTTAAGGCTATTTGGGGTGGCGCCTAAAGGATTTTAAATATGGATTGGCAAGAAGTTGTTATACAGACGATGGAATGCCCTGATGAAGTCCGAAGTTAAATGAAATGCGTAGGGCACAGAGATTTGTATAGTATTTATATTATTTACTAAAAAAAACTATCTATTTTGTAAATTGTTCCTGCTTCATGAGGTGCTATAAGAGTTTTCCGGTATCGGGTGAGGTGGAATATTCAAGGGTTTTTCACTTTGTTGCGAGTGCAACCTAATAAAAAGTGTTTACTGTGTGATATAGTTTTGTTTGTCCTTCTCTCCCACATGTTATAATCTGGATTAAAAAAAGAAAGAAGGTTCTGCCATTACTTATTTTATTCTGCCAATACTCAACCTTAAGTGTGAGTACAATATACCCCAAATTTCTGTTTGGTGTTAATATTTATTGTTTTATTGTGATCCTCCTGTGTTTCATTTTTGTTAATTATATGGTTTTTTTTTGTCTATTGAGAAGAAATTGAGGACTCTTCTTAAAATCTGCATAATTAAAGGATAATTTATCTTTTTTACCTCTTTACTCCCACCGGGGTTCACTTTGCGTATTATGTTGGTTCATTATTTTAAGGTTTTTTTTTTGCCAGAGATTGTCATGTTTTAAGTTTTTTTGTTTTGTTTTCTTTAGTAAATTGATTCATCTATAGGCATTATTTTTCTGGACCAATCACCTCCACAGACCATATGGAGATATCTACTTGGCATTCATTGTTTGTGTTGGAGGGGAGGGTAATGTGACTGGCAGCGACCCTGGTTTCCTCTGTTTGGTTGTACTAAGCTCTCTGCTGTACAAATCCCTTTGATGTAAGGAGAACATATGGCTAATTTGTTGTTGTTTTTTTCTACCTATATTGGCTTACCAGCACTTGGCTGGATACTATCTTGTTAGTAATCCTGAGCACAGTGTAGAAGTCAGACAGTGAATAAACATGCAACTTGCAGCTTGGTTTGTAAAATTCCAAAAACATGTTTGAGCTGCAGTGATAGCGTTTCCAGTCGAGCTGTGTGATTAAGGAACATTTCGTAATATTAACAGTTTCTCCGTTGAATGTGCGTGAAGGTACAGTGAATGTAGTAAATGCAATAGCAGAAATAAAAAAAAAACCAACAAAACAGTCATTCTATCTTCTTTAGGTAAGAGAACTAAATAAAATGTTGAAATAGATATTAAATGAAGATGAATAGAGAGTAGCACACACAGATTTTATAGATTTATGAAGCTTTTAAAGGAGAATCTTCGCTTTTTGGAATTTTTATATGTTTACTTATCCCTTATTTTTTTTTTTTAAATATGTGTTTGTGAGCTATGAAAAATAAATTAGAAGTGGAAATCCACCTCTTTCCTGAAACATGGTGCCTCCATATTGGCCCCCTGTTGCGCATTGTCATGTCATTGTCATTGTCAACGGTGGCCGTTTGCACCCGTTAGCAAACAGAGCGTAGAGATAGGGGGAGAAACAGACACATTTTCAGTGTATCCTCCTCCAATGCATTGTATGCCCGGGGTGTGCCAGGACTGGAATAGCTTATGATATTAACTGATACATTTTAATATATATTTAACAAAAAATGGAGCTTTGCTTGGAAAAAAATTTAACACAAGTTGTAGGTGGTTTTCAATGATTTATTCAATGGTGAAACTTCAAGATAGGTGATGGTTCCCCTTTAAAGGATC